AAAAAAAAAAATTTGTAGACCAGTGTAATTAAGCACAAGTAAAAATCGGTAAGTATGTTAAAGAACGTCATGCACAGCTGTGTGCAAGTTGTTTATGAGGTTGCTTGTTTATCATTAATTTGTGCCGATATTATCTTCAATTGTTTAATCCCTTTCGGGTAAGTAATCCAGTCGTGTGTAACCGATGCTAAACAAATTTCTTTCTAAAGACGCTGATTTCATGCAACGCAAACTGCTGTTTTAATTCGCTGTGGGATTAAGCAGAATCATCTGTTCACTGGTACCTGTAGTAATTAAGTGAGTGTGTGTGTCTTACCCTGTGTGTGTCAATGCTTGTCTGTAAAAAGTTATCTAAATATAACAGTATTATGAAGTTTATTTAATGAAATTATTTATTTTACATTCCCTGTGAGGCATTGGAAATATAAATCGATATATAATGTTTGTTTTATTCACCTATTTATTGATGTATAAATTATATTTCATTAAATGGATACCCCACCATTTTTACGAAATGAAAGACTTTCCAATGGGATCCTGCGATGAACCAGTTTGAAAACCATGTTTTGTTTTTTTTGCGGTTAACAATCTATAATCGAAAGAAATGTTATTTGAAATATATAATAAGGACAATCGTAATGGCAGTTGAAAGGTCTACAGGGATACGATACATACGCTACCGCATTTGCTGCACCTTCAGTACCAGATTTCATTAATTCATGAAATATTTTTTAGAATTAATAAAAACGGCAAGGGACCCCGTTGAAATCGACTTTCTTCACGAGCGCGTGCGTATGTGTCTGTCTATGCAAGTGTGCGTGAGTGTTGGATCATTATTGTAAGTTATGAAATAATTGTGAGGTAACGTTGTAACATAGTTTGGTATATTGGCAAGGATTTCTTCCCATTTCTTATAAATAAATGAAGATAAAAATATATGCAAATACAATTACTACAGTAAACGTTTTCCTAGAATACGTGAATATATTGTGAATGGCATGACATGAACTTATTAAATGTGAGATTGAGATTAAAATATGAAAGATCAATTTCCTCGTCACAAGTGCCTTGAAGTGTCGGATCGGACCATCAGACAGATGGTTCGTAAGATAAATTACCATCACCTTCAATTAAACAATGTCATCATTAAACACATACACAGGCTGACTCACACATATATAATAATGGAAGCCCCACAAAATCGAGGATGGCAGGCCCTAGGGCCACCTAAGCCACCTCAAACAACCTGCACACAGCTATGCCCGATACATGATGTTCTTTAACATACTTGCCGATTTTTACTTGCGTTTAATTACCAAAATATGAATGAATATAGGATGGCCCATTGCTTTATCTATTTTAAAATCAAATAAACAGTATATACGATCTTTAAATTATAAAATTATACGAAACAAAGACAACCATTAATTAAGGCAACAGGCAACTAAGTAACCAATCACCGATCACTTTTACATTCATTCATAATTTTTAATACGTACTATAGTAAACAAACGACCTCGAGTTTCCAGCTGTCTTCAGCAGTTTTCGAAGAATCTTGAACGCGACTGTACATACCTTGCGATACTTTTCGCGACATATATGATAGTATGGTATAGTTCATACCAATGTCTATAGAATACAAGGTATGTTCACACCTCAAAAAATACTTCTGCCCTACACTACACTACACTGACACAAACAGATTACCGTATAATAGTACGACAAACCTCACTACAGAAGACCAGTGAAGTTGCTAGTCATCCCAGGGAACTCGAACAAGACGAGGGTACAGGTAAACAGGCTGTGCCTATTCGACGTATTCTAGAATGACATGTGTCGCTGGTGCATTGCGTCTCCTTCCTGATTTGGAGAAAACAACGAGGTGTGAAGTGCAGGGCATCGTGGGGGCCATTAACTACTTGCTGGACGATGTGTAGAGTGGACTGGTAATCAGTAACATTTGTTCCGGACAATAGTCGATCACCTCACCCTATCCAGTCTGTCAGGATCTAGCTAGATAAATCCAACATTGCATCACAAGGGCGAAGACGGACGCCCCCTTATCCACTTTATATAAATCTCATCACTTATTGGCCTCCACAAACACGACTATGTAGACAACCTCGCCAAATCTGCTTGCTCTCTCTATCCCAGATGACGCTTCAACCATAACTGCTACTGAAGACACTCAAAGCCGCTCATCAGATCATACACGAAATGAACAGCGAGGTACTAGAATTCGTGTTCGCCACTATGATAAACATTGATACAAAGTATCAATATGGCAGGAATAAATGTTTAGCTTGGCTCAGTGATGTAGTTGTCTATAGGCCATGCTGGAAACTAGAGAAATCCTTCCCTTGCACTTAGTGTCGAATATGGGACAAAAATACTAAACCACAGCATTACATCTGCGTGCACACCAAATCGCTGCTTGTTGCCACCTAACAAAACCTTTGACAAACTCGGTAAACAGCGGTTATATCCAGAAACCTTGTACCATATCAAATACCTGCTCTATAAAACTACTATTTCACTTGTCTAAGAGCACTTTATAAGGTGCAGGTTCCTCTCATTCCTCACACCCACTAGCAGTCAATTTGGACTAATTTAGGGTCCAGCTGCCCTACGAGGAGGGAGTCTAAATCGGCTTGAAGGTAAGTTGGCCTGTTAAGCCCCGTCCACACTATCGGACAGTGACTGGCTGACTGTGCCCTCACCGGGCACGGTCTGTCGGGCATGACTGTGATGTTGTCCACACTGCCGAGTAGGTGATCAGGCGGTAAAGTCGGGCAGTAGGAGGTAGTCGGCAGCCCGAGTGCGGTGTCACTATGCGCAACACATTTGGAAAGAAGAAAATAGCGCTGTATATTATATTAATTGATGTATTTGTAATAAAGAAAAGTAAGGACAGAGTGCAGAAAACGATCTGGTGTAAAGAGTAGTTAAGTAGTAGGGACGTATTGGGAAGTCATATGACGATATTACGTGAACTACAAAATGGAAGTGAGCGTGATTTCACCAACTTCACGAGAATGGAGATCAACGCCTTTTACACACTCCTAGCTAAAGTGAAACCATACATAGCAAAGGAAGTTGCCCATCTGAGGCAGAGTATGCAGCTTTGTGGTAGATGAAACATTAGGAATTTAGGATGGATCTCCAAATATTACCATTTTTAATACATGTAAAGGGAACTATATTACAACAGTATTGGAAAGTTCAATACATACGTCTGTACTGGCATGTTGAATAAAATGTATTAATGGGGTCTTTACATACCTTGTTGCACCTTCACCGTGATGTGTACGTGAATATCATCCATACTCCATTTCCCTAAAGAAGGGTGGGGAGGGTTTTGCTTGGTTAAGGCGAAACATTCAAGTAAGAGTGAATCAATAGTGCCACACTGGCCCCACACATTCCTGCGGAATTATCAGCCCCTCCATCATGTCTGCCTCCAGAGCTAAAGCCCCTTCTTAATGAGCGAGAGAATGCTTACGTAGCCACATCTTCAGTAGTGTGATTGGTACCGGCATCCATGCTTGACACAGATGCCCTGATTGTCACTATCATTCAGAACTGACAGGTCATTAAAGCACCCTAATTTTGGCCTGTAAATTTTGTCTGTCCCAGCTCCTGACTTGTGATTTATGTACCAGTCTCATTTCACGTCTGTTGATTTCGTAGTGTTTATTTTCCTCTTTACATCCTCTGTGGTAATGGAGGCAGTAATCTTCCTTATCTCCTCTGCAATTCCTCGAGTGCTGCTGCACGTCTGTCTATCTTTGGACACGTCACTTTTGTCAATCCACAGCACGGGTAATGGCGATAAAGGTCAATTAACCGTACTGTATCTTGTCTAGGCCATCGGAGGTTTGCAGGTTCTGTGGTGCACGTGGACGGAGGGCTAGACATGAGGTAAACCGAGCAAACGCCACCTGTGGCGATAACGTGAGAGACTGACAGCCAGGTGTAACTTTTTGTGGCTGGCAGCGTCGTCGGTCCATGCCTGGCGCCAAACCACCGGGCAGTCTGCGGATTTCGCTAACTACGGGCACGGGGTGTCCGCTGGTTTGCCCGTCAAAGTTGTCACACAGTTTACGATGACGGACTGACTCGTGACTCGTTACCCACGGTCACCGTTCGATAGTGTGAACGGGGCTTTATAGGACTACCGTCCGGGGATGGGGGAGGGAGGAGGGGGGAAGGGAGGAGGGGGGAAGGGGAGGAAATACTCGAGTTAACAGGCGTATCATCATTAGAGGATATAAATAGTCCGATAAATTCAGAGGGGCAGGGTAGTGGAAGAGCTGGTGAGGGGGGGGTGGCTTCCATACCAGCTCTCAGTATTACGTTTACGAATATATAATCTTCTTACTGTATATTGTATAATAAATAGGGACTATTGAAGTGATGTAAAAAATTGGTCGCGGCGCTGGATTAGGGATCCTCTTCAGTTGTATATGGAGCTTGTATGCCAAGACTCGGTTTACTTATTACATTTTATGTACTGCATTCTTTTCGCATCTTATATCTTGCAGAACTGTAATCTAAAGACATCAAAAGAAAATTTACCCTCCATGTACAGTGATCGAAGTATCTTCCCTGTTTTGTCCTCAGTATGAAACCTCACTACCCAACACGGTGAACAGTCTCACTGGCGACCCTTTTCCAAGTTTCTACAGGCCTGCCAAGTGCTTATGGCTCAAATGTTCTGAGATGTATTCGTCTAAACCCCAGGAAGATACTTCATTCTCGCTGTACCTTCAAATGTGGCCTTTTTAAGCACTTCCTTTCAACAAACATGATCACTGAATGTCCTGTATTTGAGGAATAGCACATTCTTTCTTCATATCCAAATGATTAAAATTAAATCGTGAAACCGAAAGGAATAAAAATTTACACTGGTAAAATTATAAGGCGATTATATTTTTATATAAATGGACACTATTTAAGGCATGTGTATTGGAAATAAAGCAAACAAATTTTTACATTTATTTTCTATTAAAATACATTAAACCACACATTCTGCTTTTCTAAACTTTTGAATTTGTTCTATTGATACTGAAGACATAGGGACCCCACAAAATGAAGTCCACAGCCAAATTTGATCTTTTCAATAAATTAGCAAAACAATTTACATCAAGTTGAGACATTCTTAACTGGTCTGCTGACAGTTTTAGGTTGATCTTAGTGACGGTAACCGTAATGTTTTTCACCATCAACGAGTCGTAATTCGGTGTATATCCAATCAATATAATGCAGTATGTCAGTTATGATAGTGACCGAGCCTTCCCCACAAACAGGAGACCCAAAGGATATAATTCCGCTGATGAAGTAGTGTTCATCCTCACAGTTACGGTTATAACACGCTTTCTGGCCAGCGTCTCTCAGGGGGCACACAACAGCACCACCACCATCACCCTGTTAAAAAAAAATTAGGTATTGTGAAATTACTTGGCCCTTAACTTGACAAAACAGAACTTTTCAAACAAGTATCTAAAACATTAACACGTTAAAAACTAAGTTTGTCAATGGTGAAAAAGTATGGATTCTATTAAATTAAAAGCGATTGGTTAGGTTTCAAGAGTCCCTCTACAGACAGTAAATATATATGTTAATCTTTTGTATACATTTACAAATATTAGGACTTTTAATCAGATGAAACAGTCAATATTTGCTAAGCTACGTAAACAAGACATCAGTACTAGCGAGAATAACGCAGTAGATGCTTCTAAAGGCAAGAAATATTAAACAAGTGAATTTTTAAAAGTTGCAATCCAGTGTGGTAACTATGTATTCGTATCGAAAAAATATATAGAGATTTTTCAAATTCTCGGGTCTCGTAGACCCAACCCTGGTATTCAATAAGAAAACCTTGAATAAGGGTACAAGATCATTTCTGGCACACCCGGAATGGGAGGGGCGGAGAGACTCTCTGGGACACCCGGAGTGGGAGGGGCGGAAAGACCCTCTCTGGGACACCCGGAGTGGGAGGGGCGGAGAGACCCTCCCTGGGACACCCGGAGTGGGAGGGGCGGAGAGACCCTCCCTGGGACACCCGGAGTGGGAGGGGCGGAGAGACCCTCCCTGGGACACCCGGAGTGGGAGGGGCGGAGAGACCCTCCCTGGGACACCCGGAGTGGGAGGGGCGGAGACTCTCCTGGGACACCTGGGGGTGGGAGGGGCGGAGAGACCTCCCCTGGGACACCTGGGGTGGGAGGGGTGAGAGACCTCCCTGGGGACTGAATTCGGAGTGGGGAGGGCGAGAGACCCTCCTGGGACACCCGGAGGAGGGGCGGAGAGACCCTCCCTACCCGAGGGGAGGGGAAGGAGACCTCTCTGGGGGACACCCGGAGGGGAGGGGCGAGAGACCCCTCTGGGACACCCGGGAGTGGGAGGGGCGAGAGACCCTCTCTGGGACACCTGGAGGGAGGGCGAGAGACCCCTCTCTGGGACACCCGGAGTGGGAGGGGCTAGAGAGATCTCTCTGGGACACCCGGAGGGAGGGGTGAGAGACCCTCTCTGGGACACCGGAGGGAGGGGCGAGAGACCCCTCTCTGGGACACCCGGAGTGGGAGGGGCGAGAGGCCCTCTCTGGGACACCCGGAGTGGGAGGGGCGAGAGGCCCTCTCTGGGACACCCGGAGTGGGAGGGGCGAGAGGCCCTCTCTGGGACACCCGGAGTGGGAGGGGCGAGAGGCCCTCTCTGGGACACCCGGAGTGGGAGGGGCGAGAGACCCTCTCTGGGACACCCGGAGTGGGAGGGGCGAGAGACCCTCTCTGGGACACCCGGAGTGGGAGGGGCGAGAGACCCTCTCTGGGACACCCGGAGTGGGAGGGGCGAGAGACCCTCTCTGGGACACCCGGAGTGGGAGGGGCGAGAGACCCTCTCTGGGACACCCGGAGTGGGAGGGGCGAGAGACCCTCTCTGGGACACCCGGAGTGGGAGGGGCGAGAGACCCTCTCTGGGACACCCGGAGTGGGGCAAGACCCTTTCTGGGACACCCGGACTGGGGAGGAAGCCCAATTTCGGGGATATATTGAGTGGAGAGAGTCCAATTATAACTACCAATTATTCCTAAACGTTCCCGAGCTATAATGTATATTTTTCAAAAACCAAAAAACTTTACTATTGTAAATGATTTGTCCTTTCAGTATTCTTATGGAAAGCTGCTTTAGCATATATTAATTCATATCTTACCATTTCACTATTGTGTTCCACCCCGAAAACGTAAGTGAAAATAACGAGTCAGATACTTGCCAGTTTTCACTTTCCGATTGTAAGTGACTAGATATCGTGACCTCATTCACCCAGATAACTGTACATAACTGGTTCTGGTATTATACTGTATTTTGACACTGATTTCAGTGTCCTTTCAATTGAGGTGAAAAAATAAAAAGCTGTGACATCCCGCCCCTTAAGGATACTGTATGAAGTTTACAATTCCCTTTTAGATCACTATTTTCGCCTGAATTTTTCCATACTACCTTTAAAAACCGGTATCATTTTCGGGAAAAATCTTGAGAATAATTCAACTCAAATACTCAAAGGGTTAAAGACCTCATTGAACATTAACTTAAAATCACTTCCCTTTAATAAAAACTAAGTTGTCAACACGTAATCATCCTTATCGTGGGTGAAGTTAAATATGTCTAAATATCTCTAGAACCAAATGAATTCAGAAAAATTGGACAGTATCGGTGTAACCCACCAAATATAATATTTTTCGATAAAACGGACCAGTGTTAGGTGGGTTCATGCACTTTACAGGGCTTGTCCTTTAAACATTTGTATCGCCTCAAGTAAACGCTTACTTTTTTGGACAGACCTCTGAACCTAACAGATGCGACTAATAAACAATGTGTCATAACTACCCTAAGCCACCAGGGTAAAACCATGTTTCCACTTCATATTTCATCCATCCATTTTTTTTTATTGGAATCTTTAAATGTTTTAAAATATTTTTGTATAATTTAGAAGTTAGATATTGTGATTACAGAAAATTAACATTCTAATTGCGGTTATCCATGGCCTAAGCACGAAGGGAGGGGGGAAATAGAAGAAATGCTACTGGAAACTACAAAAACTAACCAATAAACAATAGGCTACTTACAATGCAAGCATCACGTCCATATGCTCCATAGATGCATTTCTGAGCTTCACTGTTCAGTATATATTTGTCGTCCACTTTTGGAAGAGATTCGTATAGTTTCTTTTCACATTCTTCTTCCTCTGTGGTGTAAGTCACTGACGTAGACTTCAATATATTACTGCCAAAATGTGGCTGTGGAGGATAAATACCAATTAGTATATTTCAATTGTTTATAATTGTTTTGTTAACATCAGGATCGCTAGTAAATTAAATCTAGTAAACAAAAATAAATCCTATTTTCATCACCTCGGTTCCAAGTCAAATTCTTCAACTAACCCACGAAATTAAAACCTAAGTTCCTTCCTATCAGAGTTTGGTCTTTAATTAGTGGTGGTTGGTGGGTTTCAGAACGGTGTAATGGTTGCGAAAATGACCCGCAACAAGCATAAAATTGCTTCGTTAACATCTGACCATGAGGAACCAGACACCAGGATGCGAGTTACTTGCCACTCGCGCGGCCGTGCTCATGTCAAGAACTATGATGTAAAGAGCTGTGGTTCTGAACTAGTGTGAAAGACAAGACGAGTTATGTTCCAGTCCATTCCACAACACACGCTGGTCCAAAGCTGCGCGATCTCTTTCCCGTTTACCATTCGTTGGCAGGATGACACTATTCGTCTGCTTTGTGGAATTGGCATGAAAAAACAACAACTGAAAGCTAATAAGAACGGGAAGACCTATCAAAACTTTTAAAGCCGTAAATTACGGATAGCAAACCCGAGAAACCAGAGGAATTTGTATGCAACCAGCCAGAAAATTTGGCCAAGCACGATAAACAAGGACACACCACCAATAGATCTGGTAGAGCTCTTTGCTTGTCTGAAAACCTGAGGTATCTCCATGATTGTGACGATGGCGAGAACGACGATGGTCACTAGTCCACCTTTCTAATTTTCAGACGTGTATTATAAATGTAACGTGTCGACTTTTTTTATATATACTGCAATAAAATGTAATAGTTCTGGTACTTCATATGTTCACCCGGCACTTTGTTTGCCTCCAATTCATGAATTTACAATTGCATTCTTATCAAATTTAATAACGATATATATTTGTTATTCTACAGTAATCTATAAAACTGATGAGCTTCAAAATAAGATCATTCATTATTGTATTTTAATACGCTTCTGAATGACCATCACAAACGTAGGATTGTAGAGGAGCTTCGCCTCAATTTGACATAACCACCCTAGAAAATAATGTTCCACGGAGATTGCATAATATAATGTGCAGTAGTTAGTACCTTTTATGTGGGAGTTAAACAAGACCATTTTTTCCTGGGTCTAGCTCCTGGACCATTAACAAGTTTTACTGTATGTTAATGCAAAACTAAGGTTTTTTTTTTATTCCATTCTATCATAAAAAACTACCAACAATAACGAAGTAGGAAAAAAAAGTTTTTATTTGCTTTCAGTAATACTGAAATTTTTCTCAAAATTTGAATTAAAATTTGAGGATTTCATTCATAAGGTAAAAGCTTATTAGCAAACAAGGGGTTAGTAACATTTGCGTTACTGTTAAGAAAAAAGATACCTTTAAAAAATGCAGATTGAAATAAAATAACTGTAAACATACCTTATAAACGTCATCGCCCCATCCAACAACGTAGCATTTCAGGTGATCCTCAAACAGGTAATCTCTCTCTGGCAGACAAGCCGTGGATATATGTGGTGTTCTAGAGATGTCAACCGACTTCTCCATTTGCAGAATTGCGATATCATTCTCATATGTAGCTGGGTTATAACTGCAAAATTTAAACCAATTACTATATTCAATGATATCTCCTTAGGTTGCAGTTAAGCGAAGGCATTTAGTTATTGAAAAACCAAGCCACTTTATGAAATAATTTTATAATGTACACTAAAATTACGAAATAAAAAGGGGTATAGTACGCGAAAAAAATTTATTTACTGCAAAATACCTCTATATATATATAAAACCCTTTTCGTACATGCTAGGTAAAATGATTTCCATAATACCCTTCTTCGAACATGGTAGGGTATATTGCAGTCTATAATACCCTTTGTTGCAGTTGGTTCTTACATTGTCACCTGCATACAATTGTTTTCCTTTTGCCGTCTTTATTCTATAGGCATCTTCGAATCAGGAGTGAAATGCTGGAATTTAATTATGTGCGCAAACATCAATAACCGTAAATTTTGCTTGAAATTACAGTCTTAGATAATATTTTACTAGAATACAATAATTTCTATTGCAACGAAAAACTGCATTAACGTTGCCAAATGCCACTTCTATCCCACCACGAATTTTGAGGACACGACATTATAACAAGTTAACTAGTTAACTTATTGTCGGGTCCACCCATAGAGACCAACGCCTAACAAAATCAAGGTAATCTAAGAAAGATTCCAGGGGAAAAGGTTGACATGCAAAGGAGAAGTTTTCATTATTTAATAACAATGATAACTAAACAAGGAAATCTTAACCGCTAACCCTACACCAGTGCCCTAGCTAAACATATAAATACCCTAACTAGATACAAACTAAAACATGGAGGACAAGAGCAAAGAGGAGCCAGAGAAAAAATTTATCCATCTACTCTCTACAATGCATGTTATGGTACGACGGATGATTAAGACGATCACTTGACGCGCAGGAACCCGGGGAAGGTAGAGGTCCTTAGGTGAGAATCAATGATCCAGGACAGGATATAATGACCTGCCTTTCAGGGCGAGATACAGGACCCTCGTCACCTTTGTGGTTCACGGGAGAGGCTAGAGCTTTGTGGTAGAGGCAAGGGAGATGTGACAGTGTTATTGGGGCTTCTCACTTTCTCCAACGTCGTGATGCGGCAAGGTATTGTTGTTATTTGACGACCCCAGATGACGTCGACCCAGGCGGCAAGGTTACCGACCCCCCAGGTGGCGTTGACCCAGGCGAACGGATGTGACATTGTTTCTAATTCACTCAGTTAATGAGCTTAACGCCCGTATTATTAAACAGCAATACGTAACTGGAACGAAGTACAACA